CTCTGTTACTCCCAGGGAAGCCTTCTTTTAAATCTTGGACTCAGCACATTGACATGTCTGTCTTTGCTTTGTAATCAGTTTGGAAACTTGAGGTTTTCTTTGACGAGCTGCCTGTGATACTGTAGATGACAATCTATGGGTGTGGAATGTGGTGTTTTGGAAGTCAGAACTCATCGTACTCCTCCCCTCTTGGGCCACATGCCACTATCCTTTTGTTTTTGCTTCCCATCATAATGTCGGAAGCGCGTTGCACAGGCCAGAGGAGGCAACTTGAGGCTCATGTCTCTTCGTCGCAGGGGATGGTGCGTTTGACAGGACTCTGCAAAGGTCCTACTAAGACAGTTTTTTTTTTTTTTGATAACCTAATGAAATACTTAGTTAAATAATCTTTGTTTAATTGCACAGTTGTTAAACTTTTCAAATTAGCAAAACAGAAGCACAATTGATTCAAGTTTTGCTAACATTCTACTCCCGCAAACCTCTTATGTTGGTTGCATATTACTCATTAAGCCCTTCCACTTAAAGTAGAAACCAAATTAAGAAATAGAACTTTAAAAGGTTAATGATTTCTATAAACAAGGACTGGAATGCCATAGAAATTGCATTGTGTAATTTTTGAGTATCTCTCAAATAAAGAGATAGATACTGAGTCTATCCGAGACACAAATACCCTATACCCTCCCTTTCTTTTCTAGCCTGTTAAAGCCACATGCCTGTTTCTTTTTGTAAATAGAATGCTTTTCTGTACAAGTAAATTGTTAACTCACTGGTTGCCTCCCATAGTTCACTGGAGTTTGTCCAGCACTCTGTGTGCCCAGCAGCAAGGACATCCATGGCATGAGGAAAGATCTCAGTACATACTTGTTTATTTTATTGCTAAACGGCCAGAGTCATTACTAACAGTATCGTCTATCAGTTAGGCTGCTGCCTTCCTGACCGACAGCCCTGGGAAAATTGCCCTGGATTGGCTGTGATTTAAGTGACCCCCACCATGCCATCCAGGGCCCTGCCAAGGGTCTTTTGCATTTGGATGCTTGGTACTCAGAGTGACAGTTTGGAGAAATGATGTGGAACCTTTAAGGTGTGGGCACTAGTGGGAGGCCCCTAGGTCATTTGGGGCACACTCTTGGAAGGGCTTATAATACACCAGTCTCTTTTTCTGTTCCTGGTTGGAGTTGTAATGTCGCCACTTCCTTGTCATGTAATTGATCACTACCTTATCAGTGTGGTCAGGGGACCAGCCCGTGCTGTGAGCTGTGTTTGCTATTCCATTTGGACATTGAGTCTTCAAAATTGGGATTTAAAAAAACAACAACCCAACATTCTTTTTCATAAGTAGTTGTGTTAGGTGTTTTGTTATAGTGACAAAAAGCTGGTTAATATAAACTCTTGTCCCAGTTCTGTGTGTGTGTGTGTGTGTGTGTGTGTGTGTGTGTGTGTGTGTGTGGCAGAGGGGAGGGGTAACCATGTATATCACTTTCCCTGGAAGCCTTCTCTGTTACTGTACTTCTTACAAATGGAGTAGATAGATCCATTATTCATTTGTATAGCATCTTGAAATCTTGTGCTGTTTGTTATTTTATCTGCCATTAGACTAGACTGTGAAAGCGGATTCTGTCTGACTTGTGTGTCACTATATTCCTGGTAAATCCTTGCCCATTTGCTGGCTCTTAATATACAGCAATAAATATTTACTCAAAATACTCAATTTAGAACAAACAGAGCAGATGATGGATGAAAAGCATTGTGAAGCCAAAGTTGTGTACTGTTTTACTGTCCATTTTAGAAGACTGTTATTTAATTCCTACTTTCTGCCATATTTGAAGGGACTTTACTTTTGGTTAATTAATTTTGCCCAGAACTGTGTTTCTTCAAACAAAGCATGAAACAGAAACATGTCCATTTGGTTACTGTCCCTTTTCTGCTGTCAGGCCCTGCCTTACATCTCCATCACTTAGACTTATTTATGTATAACTCTTTATAGTCACACATGCATAAACACACACACATACACATATATGGCATTTTGTAAAAGTGAAGGTAGGCAGCTTTTATTTCCATGCTGAGTTGGTTTTGTTTTATTGTAGTGATGATGAACATATTAAAAGTTAATAACATTCAGGAGTGTTTCCAAGTTTGTTCTTCATCTAGAGAAACTTCCCCAATGTCATTTTTACAAAGCAGTAGATTTGTCAGCTTAAAATTCATGTCAGCTTAAAATTGACGTATACAGTTCAGTAGTCTAAATGTATGTATGGGGGTTCAGGTGTGTGTACGCATGTGTGTCGGTGCATGTGGAGGCCAGTGATTACTACCCTTGGCCGCCATTCACCTTTGTTTGAGACAGAACCTGTCAGTGGCCTGGAACTCACTGGTTGGCTGGCGGTGAACTCCATGTACCCTCCTCCCAGTGCTGGGGTCACAAGCATGCACCACCTGGCTTTTTGCAGGGGACCTGGAGATTGACCTCAGGTCCCCATCTCCCCTGTCTTCTTTTAGTGTTGTATCTGTGAGCAAGAGTGTGCATTTTTTGTATGTGTGCTTTTCACACTGTCAGGCGTTTGTGTGGACATATGCTTTCTGTACTGTCCATCGTACACGCTAGAGTGAAGTTGTTCAGATATATGAACCTGTGGAACTACCAGACTGTCCTTCAGCCTGGACCATTTTACCTTTTTTTTGGGGGGGGGCGGGGGGGGCCTTTTGAGACAGGGTTCTTCTGTGTAGCCCTGGCTGTCCTAGACTCACTTTGTAGACCAGGCTGGCCTGGAACTCACAGAGATCTGCCTGCCTCTGCCTCCCTGAGTGCTGGGATTACAGGCATGCACCACCGTGCTTGGCAATTTTACATTCTTGCCAACAATAAATGAAGGCTCCAATACTTTTGCCAATACTTTCTTGCGTTGGTTTGCATTTTCATGATTAATGGAATGGACCACTTTTTCATGTATTCATTTGCCATTCTATACCTTCTTTGGGATATATATTTTCAATAATCCTTTGTCAATTTTTAAGTTGTTTTTATTTTCTCAGAAAATTTAAAAATTTTTATTAGCATAAAGTATTTAAACACAATAATGGGCTTCATTGACATAATGTATTTTGATAACCCCCTAATTACCCTTTTGTCTCTTTTCCACTCCTGAGTGCCTTATTCTTCTCAACCAGCCTCCTTTTTTCATGTCTCTTTGTGAGGGTAACTCAGTAAGTTTAATTCGGATTGCTTATAGGAGTTTTATCATTGAAGAAAATATCTCTGCTTCCCCCAGCAACCATGAGCTGCATTTCATCCTCAAGGAGTGCTGGGCCCCATGAGCCCCTCCTCTTTTTACTACAGTTATCTTTCCATTGAAATTGTGTTATTGAGATTTGATAGTTCATTATTTATTGTGGGTACTCCTAGCCTTTTGTCACATATGTTCTACACATATTTTCTCTTATTATTATAAGTTATCTTTTTACTGTCTTTAAATCACAGACGGTTTTAGTTTTTTGGTTTTTTTTCCTTTTGTTGTTTATGCATTTCTTGTCAAAGTTAAAAACAACCATTTGTTTTGGTGAATATTATTCTTGTGTTTTCTTCAGTTAATCATTTACTCTTGTCTTCAAGTCGATTATCCATTTTGAGCCCATTTGAATTTGCAGTATAAGCTGGAGGTCTGACTTAGTGTTATCTGGTTGTCCCAGCACCGTTGATTGGAGACTGTTTCTTTCATACTGAAATTGTTGGCATCCCATGAAACCATGAAACCAATTGACTATGAATTTGAGTGTTTTTGGACTCTTGACTGTATTCTGTTGACATGTATCTTTATCACATGCCAGTAGCATACTCTTGATTGCTGTCTTTATATTGAATTTTAAAACTGAGCAATGAGAGTCCTGAGTCCTCTTACTACTAAAATCGCATTGGCTCTTACAGGTGACTTATATTTCCATATAAACCTTAGAATCAACTAATTTTGTTGTTGGTTGGTTAATGTCAGATCTTGTGTAGCTATCCTTAAACTCAGCTTCAAGGTCTTCTAGCCTCAGCCTCCAGAGTGCTGGGGTTCTAGGCATGCTCACCCTCACCGTGCTGTTAACGCCCCCACTGCACCCCACCCCTGTTGGTGTTTGAGCACAGGGCTTTGTGCCACTGAGCTTTTTTCTTACTTCTTCATCTAATCAAGTGTTAGAAAAACAAGGGCCCTGGGATTTCTTATAGAGATTAGGCTGGGTCCATAGTGGCCCCTGCTACTTGGCCTAAGATTGCGCTTGTTTTCTCTTTTATGGCGTGTGAGACTTGGGACCATATTTATCAGAATTCTGTGGCTAAAATTGTAACTGATCCAAAATCTAAATCATGCTATTCACACACGCAGGTATAGAACATGTTTACTTTGATGAGACGTCCACTCTAAGCACAATTATGTAACAACTCAGACTAAAACTATTGCTGGATCATTTGGAATTTCAGTGTCTGCTTTAGGTTTCATCTTCTTGGGCCTTCTGGTAGAGCTGACAGGCTTAACTGGAATTTATGTTTCTTTTTATACTGAAAAGTCCAGAAGTTAGTGACATACAGTGTTGAAAGTTGTGGACTTTAGGCATTCACTGTCTGGGTTCAAATCACAGCGCTAATGCCTCTCAACTGTGACATCACCAGCAAGTTACTTAAGCTTTCTGCACCCCAGTTTGACCATCCATAAGGCCAGGGTAAAAATTCCTCACAGAAGGACTGACCTATGTAGATTGCTTAGAAAGTGGTCTATTGATCACGTGAGCACTGCATTGGCTGTAGCTGTTACTGTAGCGTGATCTCTTCCCTGGATATAAAGCCTTTGACTCAGTGCAGCTGGCTTCCCAAAGACTACTGCTGCGCTGATGTACTGCTTATTTAGTAGCTTTCTGATGAGGAAGAAGGGAACAGGGACCATAAAAAATGAGCAATAGAATGTCTAAATCCTTTACCAGAACTGTCTCTGACAGTCTTTTATTCTACTCTTGTTTTACAACAGCTTTTGGAGCTATTTGACAGTGAAGACCCCCGAGAACGGGACTATTTAAAAACAGTCTTGCATAGGATTTATGGCAAGTTTCTCGGGCTTAGAGCGTTTATCCGAAAACAAATTAACAATATTTTTCTAAGGTGAGTGGATGGTAGGCACGCAAGAGAACAACGTTGCTGTTTTTGCAAAAGCGTTAAGTAAACCTCCAGGAATTAAAGTAATGTGCTAACTTCTTCTTCCCTCCCTCTCCTACTCCCTTCCTTCCCTCCCCTCTCTACTTTCTTCTCTTAGGTTTGTTTATGAAACAGAACACTTCAATGGTGTAGCTGAACTGCTGGAAATTTTAGGAAGGTAAGTATTTGTAGATTTCAGGTGAGCCTTGTTCTGCAGGTCATGTTCAGGTGCAGAATCTCTTCTGACCTGGATCTTTTGCTCTAAATACCTTAGGTCTTTCTAATATGTGCTTATTCTGTTTCCAAGCAACTGTAAAGGGATAACTTTGTTCCATAATTACAATTTGTTAACTCTCCCATAATGACTAGAAGGAGTGCATAGCTTACTCAGAGATGGAATCTGGTTGGCTGTCAGGCCAGTGACAGCACAGCACCTCATTCTCTAGGCAGGTTTATAATGAATTAGAAAGACTGCCTACCCAGGTGTGCAGTTAAGCCGCCCTCAGAGGTGGAGCAAAGCAGGAAGAGGCAGCTGTTGTATGGGTTTTGGAGCTGATGTAGCTGGGCAGTGTGATTGCTTAGTCTTTCCTTCTAAGAAGAGGAGAAACAGGAAGTGGAGTCTCCTTGCTTCGTCCCTCCCGAGGCTGGGCAGAGGTTTCAAGAGTGAAGAGAAGTGGTGTGTGGAGATGGCAAGGGTGTTGAAAGAGCAGGTCAGCAAGGTGCTCTGGAGATGGAAGCTCATGCTTTAAGAGGAAGTTAGCAGGTTAGGCGGCTGTACAGTGGAGCAGAGGGAGGGCAAAAAATGGGTTTGGTAAGAACCTTTGGGCACTGTCTTTCTCTTTGGTAGATGCTCATAATCAGATTTACTTCTGTTAAATTGCTGCTTAATAAACGATCTGTTGAAGTAGCTAAAAAGTCTTGAATATTAATGGTGGGAGGAGTTGGCTCTCTTTTTTGGACAAATGTAAATTACAACAAGAGCTTGTCTGGGTTCAGTTGTATAGGATAACATTGCTAACCCTGTCTCTTCTTTTCCTAGTATTATCAATGGCTTCGCTTTACCGCTTAAGGCAGAACACAAACAGTTTCTGGTGAAAGTGCTGATCCCTTTACACACTGTCAGGAGTTTATCACTCTTCCATGCCCAGGTAGAACTTTAAATTAAAACTTTTTGGAGACAAAGACTTCCTTTGTAGCCAGGGCTGACTGTGGACTTGCAGTTCTCTACCCTCTTCCTTCTAGTGCTGGGATTCCAAGGGTGAGCCACCACACCTAGCTTGTAGAACAGCTTTTGAAACAAAATGAAATGTTTACGGATTTAGTGTGTCTTAGGATATTATTCCCCCACCCCTTTTTTTAAGGAAAAGTGTGTTAAAGGTAAAAAAAAAAAAAAAAAAAACGAAAAGAAAAAAAAAAAAAAGGAAAAATACTCCCCCAGGAAAATAAGAAAGTCTGCTTTTTTCCTTTTTATTTTTATTTTTTCACACAGTAGAATCATGGAACTATTTTTAAGGTAAGGAAGAGGGATGTTTCGTGTTACATCACGACAGACTTCCATGTTTAAAAGGTTACCTGCTGCAAAGATTACCCATAGGAGAATGCATGTAAATGTGAAGAGTAGGACAGTGTAATAGAATGAGACAGCTTTGGGCCTTGCCTAGTGAACTGAATGTTCTTGAGTACTTGATCCTGTTTCTCTTTGCTCTGGGCTGTCAGTTGCCCCCCCTCCCCTCCCATCACTTCTACTGCACTCACAGTAGACACTTTGAGAAGTAAGCAAATCTATAAATATTTTCACATCTTCCTTTTTACAACTCCTTCATTACTTTAACAATCAGATCTTGCGGAGTGTGGTCACTTGCACCTGTGACCTCAGCACTTAGGAGGTTGAGGCAGGAGGATTGCCTTAGCTATACAGTGAGTTGTCTTGGAACAAACAGATACCTACGTAAAAGGAGTGATGGTGACACTCAGCTCCTGTGCTGCCCTCACTGTAACTGCTGTGCTGAGCACTGCATTCATTGAATGGTAAGCCTGTCACTGGAAGGCATAATTGATCTAGTGAGATTTTTAATTTTAGTGTTTTAAGCCTCTGGCTCCCTTCTCTTTTGAGTTTGCATTAAAATGTAACACATTTTTCTAAGCAGTGTTCCTTCTTAAATGTGAAACTCTGTATTTTGAGGAAAAATTAGTCCATATGTTCCAGATTTAGCACACCATCAAAATGTTGGTTTTTAAGAGGTAGGTTTCCTGTTCAGAAATCTTTCCAAGCCCTTTAGAAAACTTGTCTTTAGTCTGTGCAGTGGGATATCACATTTCATGGTTATTTGAAAGCATTCCTGTTGAGAATGGGGGCACTCCCCAGATACTGACTTTGGCAAGTATAGCCTTTGATTTTTTTCAGGAACCAGTGTTTTCAGGTTCCCTCATAAGGCAGTTGCTGGGTTTTTAGAAAGTGCCTGCTTCCCCACAGAAACTAAAGCCCAGAACTTGAGAGGCAGCTGGAATTTGAATGTCCATGAGATCCTTTTTACACTGCACTGAGTGAAGGGTTTCAGCCCTGCTTTGCAGCAGCCTCAGAAATGTTGTCTCAGTGCTCTTTAAGGACAGAATTCCTCTGTGGCCTTGTTACTTTTCACTGACTTGAAAATACAGCTTTTAGCTGTAGTTCCTGCTACTCGGGAAACTGAGGCAGGAGAATGATGTTGAGCTCAGGAGTTCAAGACCAGCCTGGGCAACATGGCTGGATCCCAAGTCTAAATGCATAAAACAAAACAACAACAAAACAAACAAACAAACAAACAAATCTTTCTTTCTATGAGGGTTCAAATGAAGTGATTGTGAAGTTAAACCAGAGTTTGAGAAGTGTTGGTGCGCTGTGCTTTCAGCTTTTACTTGTGGAATTAACGTTCTGTCCTTTCCCTTCCTTCCTGTTTAGCTGGCGTATTGTATAGTACAGTTTCTGGAGAAAGACCCTTCACTTACAGAACCAGTGAGCTTTTTAAAAATTTTATTTTCCGTAATGTGACAAAATAAGAACAACCTTTATTAAAATCATGTGAAACATTAAATGTCTCCTTTTCTCTCCTTTTCCTTTTAGGTTATTAGGGGGTTAATGAAATTTTGGCCCAAAACATGCAGTCAAAAAGAAGTAAGTACTTAATGTCAGAGCATGCCAGTAGTGAAGGAAGTACTATGCCTAAGAGCTCACTGTGGGCTGAGCTTACACAAGCATGCCTCATGTAAACCTGGCTGTGCAGCTCTTTTTCACTGGTGATCAAAGTGAGGCTTCGAGAGATTAATTAGCACACCCAAGCACACAGAATGAGAGCGTACACTAGAACCTGCCTCCTGAACTCTGAACCCTGGGGCTTCTAGCCATTGTCATTCCTGCCCAAGCCACACTCTGTATCTAATTATTTGGCTCCATTGATTGTCACTTCTGTAGTGACTGCGTAGATAGAAGGTTTGCTGTCACTGCAGATGGATTCCTGAGAAGCCTGCTTTGGTCCCCATAATAAATCGTATTATAGGTGAGGCCTTACTGTATGTAGCCTCATAATATACAGCAGAACTTTAACTTGACATGCCTAGGAATGAGGCCCCATACAGTCACCTAAGTAGGCATGTCCTTTTATGCATGTGTGTAAGGAGGCACCAAGCAGTACCTTGAATAGAGCCTAACTGTGTCCACCTCAGATCTGGAGCCTTCTTCTTCTGGCCTTGAAACAGAGGCCACCTGTTAGCTTTATGTCCCAAGAGAACATATGTGTGTTGGCAAAGGACAGGGTATATAGGAAGAACCTCTTTATCACATCAGCCATGATTCTAACCCCTACTCCAGATAGCTTCAGCAAGTTACCTCATTTCTTAACAGCATGAGGTAAAGGGAATCTGCATTGCTGCTCTTTGTACCTTAAGATACGAAAGAAGTGTCATTATTGATATTTCAGCTGCCTACTTAGCTTTTCCTTGTGTTACTTTTCATGAACAAATAGGTAACTGCTATTTGTTATTTTTTTTTTGTTCTAGTTATACAACTGTCTAAATCTATTTATCTCCCTCCTTTGTGTGATCTTCAAGGCCTTTTTTTTTTTTTGCATACAGCCTTGAGGCCATGAGATTCACTGTGTTCTAGAGAGAGGGGAGAGGGAGAGGGAGAGAATATGTGTACATATAAGCATAGAAACAGGTCAGTGTGTGCTGATGTGCTTAGTTGGGGTACCTTAAAAAAACATGGGTGTGTGTGCTAGTAGAATGACAGCTGTCTGTTGTACGATGATATGCTCCACTGTGCTCTTGTGGACCAAAGCACATTTCTACAGGAGTTTCAGCCATTATTTTAAAAAGCGGGTTTGCACGGGAGGTGTTAAATGTCTGGGTCGCTAGCAGTAGGTGGAGTCCTGAAGAGGGAGAGGCCAGTCGTTTAACAGAAGACCTTATGCTGAGCTCTTTGTGAAGGGGGTGTACTCTTTGTGTGTATGGGGGTGAGTGGGGTTTGCACATGTAGGCCAGAGAAGGACTCTTGACACAGTGACTTGCCATAGACCTTGGAGGTAAGCTGGCAGCCACCAAACCCTGAGATCTTCCTGTCTCAGTACCCTAGAGCCCTGGGGTTGCAGGCATGCATATGGCCCAGCCTGTCTTCTTATGTGGGTCTTGGGAATTTGAACTCAGTTTCCTTATCTTTTCCTAGCAAGCATTCCTAACCACTGAGCCATCCTCCCAGGCCAAAAGAAATAGAATAATGTCTGGTTCGTTTGTTTGTTTTTGCTTTATGTGTATATTTCTCTTAAAATAGTAAGTAAATTTGATTATGTGGAATTTTTAGTGGTGGATCTCATATTTTGTGTTTTGTTTCTATTTATAGGTCATGTTTCTTGGGGAGCTGGAAGAAATCTTGGATGTGATTGAACCATCACAATTTGTTAAAATCCAAGAACCATTGTTTAAACAAATTGCCAAGTGTGTTTCTAGCCCCCATTTTCAGGTTAGTAGTAAAGAGAACATGAGCCAGAGTAGTGTGTGCCAAGTGAAGTCATTTGGCTAAACTTCATTTGTATGGTGGGGAAAATCATGGGCACCAGCTACTTTTTTCTCTAAGTTTTTTTTTTTTTTTTTTTTAAATTATGTATGTGTCTGTATGTGGGCATGAGTTCATAATACAGTGGCCACAGAGGCTAGACACATCTCAGATGCCTGTGGCGCTGGAGTTACAGATGGTTGTGAGCTGGCTAGTGTAGGTGCAGGCAACTGAACTTGGGGCCTCTGTAAGAGGCAATCTGGTCTCTCAGCGACTCAGAAGTCTCTCCAGCCCCTGCTATAAGTAGTTACCTGATGTTGGGCATCTGCCCTGAATAGCCTCTATTTCATAATTTCAGTTCCCAGAATACCATGCAAGAAGGCATGGTGTGAAGGCCAAAGTTTAGAAGCCATAAAATAACTTGGGTTAAGCTCATTTCAAGTGAGCTGCTGGGATTTCTTTACGGTGTGTGTGAGTAGTAGTCAGTAATGCTTAGGAGGGAAGAGATAACTTAGGATAACTGAGTGTAACTTTGCTTACCCTGCTCAAGGTTTCTACAACAGGGGAGTGTAGGTGAGTTTTCAGTTAAATGCGGCTTCTTGCTAAGCTTGCTGGAGTTGATGGCCTTCCCACAGCCTGCTCTGCCTCCTTGTGGCTGTTTGAGGAGAGCACAGAGAAGGTGCACTTGGCATGTGTGTTTCTAAGGAGGTCCTGGCTGCAGAACTGTGGAACCCTCACAGAAGAAAACAGGAACAGAGTCAGACACAGTGTTTTATTTTACCCAGTGGCTGTCTCAGCAAAAGGCCATCTTACAAATGTAGCAGACTCACCCTACTGCCCATCATTTGAAGATACTATTCAACAGCACAAAATTTGTGCTAATTTGATGGTGGACTGTCCGTTAAGCTGCCAGGCAGAGGCCCTGACTGTTACTGTTTTTAAATCTAAAAACATGTTAATATATCAAGCTTGTGCTTATATCACACAGAACAAAAGGGAAAAGTAAATAGAACACCATTCTGTGACGTGTCTAGATGGGATGCAGATAGAAAAGTTCAGAACAGTGTGTGGAGATGGAGCACACTCCACTAACCCTGTAGTGCTCAAACACACGGACTGTTCATTTCTATTTTCACTAGCCTCTTTGGTATAGTGGAGGCCACGGTTCTTTTACAAAAAAGGATGGCAGGGAGGCTTACATAATGCTCGAAGCTTAGAAAGGAAGATAATTTGTTAGACTAGGGAGGAAGTTCAGTAGTTGAGCGTTGTCTAGCCAACTTGGTTGGCTCAAGTTGCCATAACAAAATGCCCCAGACCAAATTGCTTAAACAGCAGAGATCTATTTCCCCACAGTTGTGGAGGCCAGGTGTCTGGAGTCATGGTTGGTTCTAGCATGCACACTGACCCTCTGCCATAGTCTTAGGTACCTCCTTTGTGTGTGTGTGTGTGTGTGTGTGTGTGTGTGTGTGTGTGTGTGTGAAGATTGTTCATTCTGCCACAGTCCCCACCCAGGTGAATAGTACCACAGGCTCGCCCATTCCCACCACTTATCAGCTCTTTAGGGAGAATTTAGGGAAGAGTTGAGAGCAGGCTTCTGCATTGGTAGTCATGTGACCTTGAGCCAATGACTTACCACCTAACTCTCACAAGTCTTCATTTATGAAATTGGGGTAATGGCACAAGCTCTGTTAGCTCCCGGATTTCAAAGCAATGTTGTGTGAATGGACACAGCACAGTGGCGAATGTGTGTTAGTTGTCCTTGAAGACAGTTCCTCGGTGCTCAGGAACCAGTAACTGTCCGCAGTGTTTGAACCTGCTATAGCGAGACAGGCTCCAGTTTCTCAGTCTGTCAGTGGGTGCAGTCTTGTGTTACTTTTCATTCTAATACATGATTTCCTTATTTACGTAAATAAAAGAAGCCATTTGAGTTCATCAAGTCCAAGATGAGTGGCTCAGGCCCAACAGATCAAATTAGAGCATGGCAGCATTGTCGACAGAGAACAGGGAACGAATAAGCAAATGACACTTTCCTCGAGCCAGCCCTACCTTAGAAGGCCCCACAGCTTTGCAGGTAGTGCCACAGGCTTCGGACAAAGCATTAAAACGTAAGCCTGTGGGGACATTTAAGACTCAGGGTATAACAAGACCTCAGCCAGACAAGGAATTCTGAAAGCCGAGCTGGACGAAGCTGTGTTTGGAGGGGAGGGATGTGTGGGAACTATGCGGAGAAGAGTGTGGACATAGATCAGATGTGTAGACTTAAAGGAGAAGATAAATCAACAGGTAGGGAAAAATAAAACAAAACAAAACAAACTTTTTCTCCCCAAATGGATGAACCACCTGGCAACTACTTAAGGGATCATAAATCTTCACAAAATTTTTATATACTTTTGATTGAATGATTTAAAAATAGCTTTAAAAATACTTTTGTTTGAAAAGATTATAATTTGTTTTATCATTGTTCTTTGTCTTTTCTTAAAGGTGGCAGAAAGGGCACTCTATTATTGGAATAATGAATACATCATGAGTTTGATAGAAGAAAACTCTAACGTCATCCTTCCCATCATGTTCTCCAGTCTTTACAGGATTTCAAAAGAGCATTGGAATCCGTATGTTTTCAGGTTCCTTCCATCCTTAGCCTCCCTCCCTCTTCCTCTCCCTGCTCTCCCTTTTCGTTTTCTGTCTCTTCCCTCTTCCTCTTTTCTTTAGTAAAATGTCACACAGCTCTCTGTGTACCAGATTGCACATGTGACAAGATAAAAATCCCTCCTGGAAATTTGCTGGTTGGGGGGACTGAAAAGCAAACAAATATTTTAACAATATTTTTTAAATATCTATTTACTTGAGAGGCTTTCTGACCTGTCTGAAGGTAGCCAGATTTAGTTTGAGAATGTGCTGGAACCCCAAAGGATGTGCATTGGCTGGCAGGGCTCAAATTGAACATGTTAATTTTTTTTCTAGGATCTTCCTGTACAGCCCATACCAACCTCAAACTCAATGATCCTCCTTCCTCAGCCTCCTGAGTGCTGGGGAATGGCATCAGATAGAATCGTAATGGAGTTGGTACATGGTGGTACTCGGGAAAGCCCCTTCAGACAAGGGTCCAGTACTACATAAAAGGCACACAGCTGTTAAAAGTGCCTGTCAGGTTCTGAGGCCCTTGGCTTAAAAGAGAAAAGGCATGAGGCCTTTGGGTGAACAGTGCTGAAGACAAGACTGAAAAGGGAGCAAGGCCCACAAGCGCCTTCACCAAGGGCGACATCAGGGAATAGTGAGGGACTGTGAAGAAGTGGTCTGAAGAGATTTACTTTACAAAGGAATATCCATTTCCCAACAGCCAGCAAAATTGTTAGGTTTTTTTATAGCACGGGTATGGAGAATTTTTAAAATCTTCAAGGACAAGTTTAATTTAGTTCCAGGAGAGTTAAAATATTCTATATTGAGATGCCTTTGCATGTTTCTGTATGTGATAAATGAAAGTTTTATGTGGCATTGAAGAATTAATAAGTGCAGTTCAGTTTGTCTTTTAATTATTTGCATGGAGTTGTAAAATAACATTTTTTTTTCAATTTTCTAATTATATTTTCTGTATTAATAAAACTTTGAGAAAGAGTCATTGAGCCTTGTAGTACATACTTCTCCTGAGGGTCTGTAGAGCAGCCCTAGGCAGTGTCAGTAACTGCCCAGGATCCCCGCCTCTCCAGTGCTGCCCCTGGGAAGAAGGCCATTCCTGAGCCTTAGCTAAGTTTCCTTCTTTGGGCACCAAGCAACAGCTGTGCAGGAAGACCTCAGATCTCCCACTAGCGTTTTTTTAGATATGCCTTCTTATTAAGAGTAGGATTGGGCAGTTTGTTGCAAAATGGAAGCAATCTTGTATAGTTTTGAAAAGGGAACCCCAGTTCTTGCCTAATCTGAAGCTTTCGAGTCTGTCACAGCACAGTGCTCACATTGTCCAGATGATTCTCTGCTTGATAAGAATAGTCGGGCAGCTTGGCTTCTGAGCCATGCAGTGCTCCATAGCCAAGAGCATCCGGCCCCCGCCTGACAGTTTTCAGCAGAAGGGCTAATCAGGAGCAGATGGACTAATACAACCGCACTGGAGAAGCAGCTTGTCGGGGCTTGGGAGCTTGTCTTTGAGCACCAGTGATTTATATACTCATTTCTACAGGAACACCTTCTGATTCTAAATTATGTATATTATTACTTTGAAAGTAATGTTTTTAACCTCTGATCCTTATTTATAGAGCAGTATGTCTGCTCTGTCTTCCTTGTTTCTTTGTTTTAAGATAGTCTCTATATGTAGCCCATATAGGCCTTGAACTCTCAATGCTCCTACCTCTACCTCCCAAGTGCTGGGATTACAGTTATACACTATCAACCTGGTGAGGTGGTTTTATTCTGTGTGTTTGTGTGTGTGTGTGTGCTCGTGCACGCACGTGTGCAAGCATGCCTTCCTGCCTGAGCTATCTCCCCAGCCCCTGAAGCACCTTTATTTCATATTTGCCTTTTGTTGTGCATTGGCCGTAAGCATGTCTGCTCTGGGTACCAATAATTTGGAAGGGCAACATTGGGTTTTAATTCTGCCATTCCTTAGGAAGACTGCAAACAGTAAAGAATTCAAGTCTCTTGATGTGGAATTGGACTGTATAAAAGGGAACAGGAAGCCAGGTGTGGTAATACATGCCCGTAATCTCAGCACTAGGCAGGAGGATCAAAAGTTCAAAGTCACCCTCAGCTACACACTGAGTTTGAGGCTGGCCATGCTACATGAGTTTTGAGAAGTGGCTTTTGGGGAGCAGTAAGGGTTGTAGGGTTGGGAGAGGGGGTAGGAGGGTTACGATGATCACAGTGGGCTTTACAAGAAAGCGTGAGTTCAGGCTTTTATGTATATGCGATAGAGTTGGCACAGATTTATGTAAGTTTTCCTTTTGCTTTTCTACTCAGCACCCCATTGTGAAAGACTAACCAGCATGTCCTCCTCCTTTCTCTCACAGGGCTATTGTGGCATTGGTGTACAACGTGTTGAAGGCCTTTATGGAAATGAACAGCACTATGTTTGATGAGCTGACAGCCACATACAAGTCAGATCGTCAGCGGTAACTTTTTAAAGCTCTTTTGTCTGCTGTGCATAAAGTTACTGAGTCCTTTCTGAACTCTTTGCTGAAGCTGCCTGGTTGCACATCAGATCATAAACAGCAGTGTATTTACCTAACATACTTTCCTTCTGCATGCTCATTAGCTGTGCGCTCGTTAACGTACTGCTAAGTGAGACAGTTTTGTGGTGGTGTGATTTTTATGAAGCCTGCTGCCTTGCTCCTTTTATTTCTGTTCTCACAGGGTTAAGAGCCTGGTCTTTTGCACTCACTTCAGGGAGTCATTAGGTAGTTAGTCTTCTGGGCTGACTCCTGATGCTAACCCACCCAACCTAAAACTGGGCTGATGTACTTTACTCCAGTGCAGGAGAGACTGGGCATTGTTTGTCCAGATCTTACTTTCTTTTTTTTTTTTTAATTAAATTTTTTTATTTTTTATATTAATTACAGTTTATTTACTTTGTATCCCAGCTGTAGTCCCCTCCCTCATTCCCTCCTGATTCCACCCACCCTCTCTTATCTACCTGCCCCTCTCTTAAGTCCACTGACATGGGAGGTCCTCCTCCCCTTCCATCTGATCCTAGCTTTAGATAGATCTTACTTCCTAGTCTAGAAACCAACAAATTTATCACAACTTAAAAGAGCAATGAAAAGAATATAAATATTAATGGTCTGGGATTAGAAAATAGGGAAGTGCTTCTTAAGACTAGAATGATGCCAACAGTCTTTGGATTTTATTTACATGATTCTCCTGTTTTATTTTTATTATAATTATTTTGCTGTTTTGTTTTTTCAAAACAGGGTTTCTCTGTGTAGCCCTGGCTATCTCAGAACCTTTTTTGCACATTGGGATGGCCTCAAACTCAGAGATCTGCCTTCCTCTGCCTCTGCCTCCCAAAAGCTATGATTAAAGGTGTTTTATTTTTTATCCAGTATGTTCAACTTTCCAAAGAATGTTCTTAGTTAGGGTTTTTGTTGCTGTGAAGATGCACCATGACCAGGCAAGTCTTTAAAAGGAAAGCATTTAATTGGGTTTGGCTTACATTTCAGGGGTTTAGTCCATTATCATGGTGAGAAGCACTGCAGCACACAGGAGGGCATGGTGCTGGAGAGGTGCCTGAGAGTTCTCTATCTGGATTCCCAAGCAGTAGGCAGAGAGATTGACACTGGGCTTAGCTTGAACATTTGAAACTCAAAGCCCATCCCCAACAAGGCCACACCTCCTAAAAGTGCTGTTCCCTGGTGACCAAGCATTCAAATCTATGAGGCTGTTCCTATTCAAACCACCACAGATGCACTGGAGAGATTGAGGAAAACAGAAAGAGCTCATAGTTGGTTCCCTGGCTTGACTCTGATCACATGGATGCAGGCATGGTCTTGTAGGTCATAAAGCCTGGGCCTTAAAGAGTCCCAGAGTGGGTATGTGGCATGTTCATACCTTGGTCTTTGCTGAACCCCGTGGAAGGATGCTGCCTGTGATTTTCTTGCTCCTTTGCTTTGTCTTATTTAGAATGTGTTAGTTGTGTTTTACTGAGGAAAAGAGCAATGAACAGGAAAGTTTGGGACAGAGGACCAAGGACCATTGGCAGAGATTGTTTTTAAGTTATAGGGATGTGATCTATAGGAAACAGTTTAATTACAGAATATAGTTTTAATATTACAATATTATTTTTAAGTACAACATTGAGCTAAATGTCAATTCTGTATTATACTTGAAACCTAAATAACTGTTGATTCGTGATATTATCAATTGTTAAAAATTACTAACTTTTTTTTTTTGTGCTACAGTTAAGTTAAAATATTTTGAGAAGTTATTTTTTTTAAGACGGCTGAGGGGGACTGGAAAGATGGCTAACTGTTAAGCTCACTTGATGTTCTTCCAAAAGACCCAGGTTCAAGTTCAGTACCACATAGCTTCCAAAAGTTGTAATTCCAGTTCCAAAGGATTGAATGTGCACTTGTGTCCTCCTTGAGGCTCAGGCATGCACACAGCACACAGACATATATGCAGGCAAAAAATACCCATATGCATTAAAAAAAAAAAAATCAACAGTAACAACTTTTAAAAAAGGAAGGGGGTTTGCTAAGGGAATATTGGAATAACAAACAGTGCACAGGGCATAGCATTTGTCTGTTAGTTCAACAGAATTTTCTGTAACTTATTATTCTGGTTAAGTAGGGATTAAGCCTGTACAATCTTACTAAGACTATTGAAGGAGCTTCAGTGTCACTGGGTGGAAGGCTGTGTGTGGCTAGCTTATGCAAAGGCTCAGTGCCTGGCTCCCATATCACGGTGTGGGAGTATGTGCACAGGCGCTTATTTCAGATTAGTTGATTCATATTTAATGAAATCCCACAGTGAAGTTATTTTTGTGCTCCTTTATTAACTAAGCTAGATGGATCAGTCACTTGAGAATGAATGGACTTAACTAAAGGGACTGGGAGCTGGTAGAACTGTGAATTGAGTCAATATGCTAGAGGGTTAAGGTGCTTCATACTGAGTGGACTGCATGACTGAAAGTTGCTTTCTGAGCCTGATGCAGTGGCGCACACCTTTAATCTCAGCACGCAGGAGGCAGAGGCAGGAGGATCAGTGTGAGTTTGAGGCTAGCCCCGTCTACAGAGTGAGTACAAGACAGCCAAGACTACAGAGAAACTTGGTCTCAAAAAAACAATAGATAGATAGATAGATAGATAGATAGATAGATAGATAGATAGAAAGGTAAGTTGTTTTTTGTTTGTTATCTTATTGTTGTTTTGGTTTGTTTAAAAAAATAATAAGAATGATACTTTGGCAAACAAGCAAAAATAGAAGGTTGTACCAAGCAGATACAAGTATTGGTTTCCCCACAGAAGTGATAATAACTTAATTCGTAATTGAACATGGATGTTTGGGGCTGTAATGAAAGAGCCAAATACACGATTTTACTTGTTAATGGCAGGAAGTTGATAGTTTCAGTTCAAAGGAGATTTTTAAGCATTACAAATCAAAATGGTGGGTGGAGTAAGCTGTTAAGACTGTCAGATATGAGTGCCAACAGTAGTGCTGTGTGAAAAGAAATGGGAGGAGAATTTGACAAGATTTCCAGCATTACAGTGTGTTGATGTCTTAAAATTCTCACCAACACAGAGAGAAACTGGGAAAAATAAGGTGGGACTAAATATATCAGCAGTATTTAGATGTTTTTAGAGCCAGGCACACACATCTGTAATCCCAGCACTTGGGAGGAAGAAGCAGAGGAGCAGGAGTTCAGGGTCATCCTCCATTAATGAATTCAAGGACAGCCTGGGCTACCTGAGACTCTTGTCTGAAAAGTCAAGACAAAACAAAAATCAACAACAAAGAAATATTTAAATTTTTTTTTCATTATATAATTACACCTGTATGAAAAGGAAAGGTCATAGAAACAGTAGACCAGTGGCTGCCAGGGGCTGGGGGAAGAGGGAGTAGGCAGTATGATTTCTTCTTTGGGGATAGTCAGAATATCCTAAGCTGAGACTGTGTAAAGTTGTCAGCATGAAAGCAGCATGGTAACTCAGTGTGCATTCATCTGGAGAAAGAAAGGACACTGCATACTGTATTGCCGACCAACTAGAGTGAGCAGCTTCAGTAGGGAGATGATGATGTCATGATGGATGCTGGGAACCACAGCAGTGTGAGCTGCCACAGGATGGGCTGATTTTCAGCAGCGGAAAGTTCCCGACCCTTCTTTCCTCTGTTCCTGCAACCAAAGAAGTCACTAGAGCTCCACATGAGCCATAGGATTTAGGTTCGTGTACTTGAATCGGTTTCTCAGAAAGCATGCACTCAGACTGATATTACCTCTGGCCTGTACTGTCAAGCAAACAAGTGATGCTGCCCTGCAGCTTGCCTGCATCCACGAGTCAAGAGTCTAGAAGCTGGCAACATCCTTTCTAGAAGTCCGTACCCACTCTAGGCTGTGTCCTTTTTCAGTCTCTGCCTTCCCCTGTTTTAATCTTAATTAAAACTTATGTTTGGCTTTTTGTCTTTTGCGGGGAGGTATAGGGTCTCACCCGGTAGCTTAGGCTAGCCTTGAACTTCAAGTCATCCTCCTGCCTCAGCTGTGTGAGTGTGGGATAGCATGCTAAAATCTTTTTAAAAATATTTTTATTTCTACTCATATGAATGTTTTGTCTGTATGCATATATGTGCAGTACATGTGTGTCTGGTGCCTGCATAGTCCAGAGGCAGACTTTGGAGCCCCCTGGAACTAGAGACATTTGTGAGGCACCATGCGAGTTCTAGGAACTGAAACCTAGTCCTTTGGAAGAGCAGCACTAGGCAGGCATTTCTCCAGAGATGCTGCAGAGCCATCTCTCCAGCACCCAAGATGTTTTTCTGAATTAATTTCAACTTTTTTTAAAAAATTAAAAAAAATCTATAATGATTAGAGACTTTTCTAACTTTGCCCCTTACGCCCTTAAGTGCAGTTGTTCTAGGTCAAAATTATTGCATAAGTAAATATTTGAAAACCATCATGCTTGCTGAAATTCACACTGTGCAGATTGTTTAAGAGAGCCAAACATAGTAAACAAGGCCTAAATTGCCAAATGTTAATTATGAAGGGAAGCTGAAGATGACTACATTGTTTGATTCAATATCCCAGCACGTACAATGGGAATGTCAAATTACTTGGGTTTCTTTAATTTATTTTAATTCGCAGATGATGAGAATTACATTTTATTGTTTTTTTTTTTTTAAGTTTATTTTTCTTTTATGTGTATGGGTGTTTGTCTGCTTGAATGTATGTGTACAGGGGACAGAAAAGGATGTCAAGTCCCCTGGAGCTGGAGTTAAAGATATTTGAGCTGCCATGTGGGTGCTGGGAATTGAACCTGGGTCCTCTGGAAGAACAAGTACCCTTAAACACTGAGCCAGCTCTTTGGCCCTTCTTTCTGTCATTAACAAAACTTTGCAAAGTATTGATGATTATTAAAATAGTGTTCCACATTGGAATTCCATGCAAAGATGACATTATGCAAGTGAGTTTCTCTGTGGAAAAACAAAGTGTTACTGAAGTGTGGTACACAGGACCAGCTCTTTGAGCCGAGGTGACAGAACTCCTGTGCTTAGGAGTTTTTGGATTTGTGAATTCACTGTGTTATCTGGGTCTACTTTTCACCAGTTCATCACAGTAAGCTAGAGGTAATAATGTGAATTATATTAGTAGATGTGAAATCATGCAAAATATTTTTAATAAGTGTGAATATATTTAATTTATAATGGCTTTGTGTTCTTTGATTATGTATTTCCTACTTAATTGATGTTAAAACATTTGTTTTAAAAAAATATTGAATTTTCAAGAACTCTTTGGCAAATTTAAATAGTTGAGTCTATTTTGGCTTATCCAGTTGGGGTAAGCTTTGCCAGACAATGCAGTATGAAATTCTGGAAAACACTGGTAAACTGGTGTTTAACAAATAATTAAAGGCTTGGTCACTTAAAGTTTTAATACATAGTAGTACCAGTGTCTACAAAGTTTCTGTTATATATTCTTATAATATATAAATATGTAACATGAAATATAAATATGCTTTGATCATGTACTTTCAGAAATGACCACTTTCAGTGTGCATCATATGGGAAAGTAGACATGAATAAAGGAGAGGATGTGTTCTTTTGATCTTGCACATTTTCTGTCAGTGTCATTTTCAGCATCTTTTTTGAGGGTTTATTTGGGAACAAATAGAAGGTTGGGTTCTGACAAGGCTCTGAGCATTTAAAGCCATTAAGCACTTTGGTGTTAAGATAGGTGATACTAGAAATCATCTCTAATTTTGTTTCTCAGTAATTATACACTGTATTGGAGTTTATACTGTGTCTAGAGATAAAGGGATGTTAGTGTAAATCTTAAAATAGCCTTGCTTTCTACTTTATTAGTCTGACTTCTGTATCAGTGAGAGTGTCAAAATAGACCCCACACGAGGGAAAGACCCAAAAGGAAATCGCCAAAAGCTTGCTGCTGAATGTGTCAGAGCCACTTCCAGGCATCTGCGACGGAATGGCACTCTCTGTTGGGTAGTTTCACCATACCCTCTTAGTTGTTTACATTGTTCTCTGTTTCTTCCCCAGTGAGAAAAAGAAAGAAAAGGAACGTGAAGAACTGTGGAAAAAATTAGAGGATCTGGAGTTAAAGAGAGGTCTTAGACGCGATGGGATAATTCCAACTTAACAACAACCTGACAGCGACATCACTAACCCGTGGGGTCACACGCTTATGTAGTAGAAGGATGGAGCAACAGTTTTCTGTATTGTGCAACTTTACAGTAGATTTCACATTTGTCTCATTATTACAGCAGCACTGTATATACCTGTCTCTAAGTAAAGGAAACATAAGGACTTCAATCCAAAGTGTGGACAGTAGAAGGACTTCTCAGAACTTCGCAAACGTAATCATTGTTCTAACCCTCCTTAAAAACAAACAAACAAAAGGTCTTCAGAGATCTGTTGGTGAAATTGCTATGTTAAAATTCCATTATCAGGAGTTCCTTATTTATCACTAGCAGAGAGTATGATACAATTTTCAAATGTGAACAATCTTAAATTTAGCTTGTCTTTCTGCTAAGCTGTTAAATGTATTTATAGTAAAGGAAGAAAAGATTGTCATTTCTTTATAAGTTTGTATAACACCCTCCTCTGGACAACTTGACTGTAATTTGACATCTTTTCCTTTTGCACATCTTCATGAGTCGAATGTCCATGTGGAATGGGGCTATGAATTACAGAGGTCCCTGGTGAAAGTTTGTGTGCTGGGTGAATATCTTCCCGGTGACCAGGGGTCCCTGGTACTCCTTTAGTTTTCAGATTAGGAGTAAAAGAAGAAGAGGTGATAAGCATGGTAGCAAAGGGAATGTTGGGCTTCATATGAGATATGATGAGTCCAAATCAGTGTCTTGAATCCTTTGAAAACAGGCAGTAGGAAACACAGGCTTCAGCATCTGCAGTATTAGCTGCAGGCATCATTGTGCATCCAGACCAGAGACAACTTAGAAATGTCAGAGAAACATCCTTTGGGATCCTGTGAAGTAAGAAAGACAGAGCACTAAGCGATATAACCATGAAGTTGAGCACCAGGACTGCGCATCCAGTTGGGAACCGAGCTGAGCAAACAGCACGAACTGTTTGGAGTTGTTGCCTTACTTTCTAATATGTACTTATAAAGTATTCAGCAAAAGAGGATGCAGCCTCTGGGAGACACAAAACATGTTCCAGTGTTTTTTGTAGATTCTTGTTCTATAGCTCATCAAGCGCCAGCCCTGTTTTTAGCCAGAAAGGATTCAGGATCAACATTATGCGTTCTGAATTGGATGCATACTCCTAACTACTGTATTTGTTACCAAAAGTGGTTCTACAAATGCTACTGAAAAAAAATCTGGAAATTCCTAATGTCCTGAGTATTAATAATAAAGTTTAAAAAATGCTTTTATATCAAAGGTGCATCGTGACCAAATTGTTTAAGGACAACAAAAAACAAAAACTAGGGCTGTACTCTAGATGAATCTTCCTGGCTCTCTGCTCTGCTTTAAAGGAAGAATCTACCTGGTAGGCCAGCTGCCGCTGTACCGGTATGCAGGATATGCATCCCCGATGGGCTTGCATTGCTGTGGACTGGCAAATGTGTGTCTTGGGGATTATTTCCAAGAAGCTTTTGCTTGTTAGAGACAGGGCACGAGCGAGCCGAAAACCCCCAAACCATCACATCTAGCAGTGTTCAATTGGCATCTAGCAGAGCCAATTCTGTGTTGAGTTGTGATTGTAGCTAACATGAACACATGAACTGTTGTTGCTCTTAGTAGAAATACAGTATAAATGTGGGCTTGTATATTTTCTTCCTTCCTTCTAAATGTAAAGCAGGATATATATAGCTTTGTTGTTTGCAAGGAAAAGGAGGGAAAAGCCACTGACCTTTCTCACTTATGAAGTGTTTCCAGATTGTCAGTCACAGTGTGTATATAAAAATAAGCTAATTATGTTTACTTTCATGTAGGTACCTTCACTTTTTTTTTTTTTTTT